CACGCATCAACTGTGTCGGCAGGTGCTTTTGGTTCTTCAAGAGTAATAATCTCTCAGAAGTCTGTGATCGTTGTGCCTTCATCACTCACCCTTTTACCAGACCCTTTTACATCAAGCCAGTCATGAACAGCTGCGATAATGTTGAAATGAAAAACCATCTCTACATGAGTGTGATGCACTCTTTGTCAATCATCGCTCTTTTTATGAATCTATTCGCCTTTTACTGCATTGTCTACAAATCAACGAGGCAGATGGGCGCTTATAAATGGTATTTGCTTGCTTACCAAGCGTCATCCACTGCATTCGACACTGTTTACACTGGTTTTATAATACCTGTAATCTACTTCCCAGAAGCAATGGGTTATCCTGGCTCTTGGCTGGCAGAGGCATTATCTATCACTGGCCACGCTGGCGTACTTATGGTGTTTCTCACAGCTGCTCTACTTGTTGGTTGTATTCTTAACCTATTTAACTATCGTTGTCACGTGGTTACTCCAAACCATTACTTTTTTAAATTTGGCAATTATGGTGAGTAGTGTGGGAGTGACGTGTCAATTCAGCGTCTTCTACGACTGAGCACAATTGAATAAATGTAATTATTACTCTCTCCGCTGGAAGAAAAGGAATTTAGAAAGATTAATTGAGAGACCTTGATTATGTCGAGTATAGAATTTCTTTGGCAGATCCAGCGAGCGCTCATTTTAAGGCCACATCTACACGAGTTCTGCCATATCACTGACCTATTTCCTATCTTTAGCAGCTGGTTTAATTGATATTCTACCTGACCAAGAAGGGCCTAAGGCATGGGCTGAGAAGGTATTTTCACTTAGTATGGTTTGTTTTTCCCAATGTTTACCTAAAAACTTGCAAAGGTCTCGTTAGAGAATTCACCTAGAGTTGTGAAAAAGAGTTGTGAGCCCAGTTTTTCCTATCCAAGTTTTAAATCACCAAGTATTATGTTATTTCAGAAATACCCTTGTTTGCAATCTGTAATATATGGCAGTCCACGTTTTACGGTCTTCACACTAAATAAAGGGATACGTTTGGCTATGACAGTTATAGTATTGGCGGTTACTGCAACTGTAATTACAGTACTATGCATTGTTCTCTCCTTCTATTTCATAAGGATGAGTGGACATCTGTCACAGAAAACGAAGCGAATGCAAAGACGATTTCTCATCTACCTTTGTATACAGGTAGGTGGCAAATACTCGTTGCATTAATGTCTTTCTTTCGCGGTTCTCAAACAGAGCACGCGGCAGCCGTTATGGTTGGCAGCGTAAAGTTAGTAGTTCAGCCTGAAGGAGCCCTGTCTCGGTTGTTACCTCTTAGAACCATTATTCATCAGGATAAGAGGAAAATAGCAGGAAACTGTTCATTGTTGACCGCGTGTTGACGACGTATGCTTATAAAAATGAGTGAGCTGCAATGATTTGCAATTGATATCACCGCAATGAGTCGGATCGCAATCAGCGATTTTCCACTTGCGGAGTTTCACCGCTGTTTGTTTTTTCTCCTAAATCGATCACTACCCATTCGCCATCGGTAGAGCAAGTCAGGCCAAGGCGGGGCAATCCCATCCTTCTCACACCGACCTCGACTGGCTGCGATGTTACGAACTATAGTTGCTTTTCAGGTGGCTATCCCTGCGCTAACTATGTTGGTACCTATACTGATGTTGGTGTACGTCATCGGAGCCTTCACCAATGGAGGTTTATTTCTTTATTTATCACTCAATCAAGTCTGGTTCCCTCACAGCCAGAGTACAGTAGTCGAAAAAATGAAACTAACTCTATAGCGGCACTTTCGCCGTTTTTACACATGTATTTGCTATCCTCAAACTCAGCTGCTGGGGTAATAGCCTTGGATCGTGTACTTATATAATAATGTTGAAAGCCTGGTAGAGCGGAAGTAGTGCAAAGGCAAGTGGCGCTGCTTACTTCGCGGGTGGTCTAAATATCGAAGCCTGGATAGGATCGCGTTCACGCTGCTCAGGGTTTTCATCCTTTCGCGAATGGGCGCTTATGTATATTTGTCTAGGAGTGCAAAACACCCACTATATTAGCTGCCTTCGTGCATTTCTTGCACAGGTCAATTCACAACCAAAAGACAGAACGATTTTTGATGGAAATGAGATCTTGCTCTTCGATGTGCGCAGCGACAAGTTACGCAGTCGCGTGTAAATTTTCATATTGTAGAACGAAGGATCAGTTCTGTCTGGGTATTCGTTAGGTTTTTCTTCTACTTTTTTTACGGCTGCGCTCTACAAATCTGCAAATCTGTGTTGTTGGCAGAGCCGTCGCATACTTTCGCAGAGCCTTAGCAGAAATTTGAAAATGGATCCAAAAGCAAAATTCAGTGGCGCATCCTATAGCGACTTCTCCAAAATTCTGTCCGGATGTTTTAAACCACTCAAGACACTTTGGGATAGCGTCTTCGTGCAGACAAAGCCTCCCTGTGCGGTCTGATACAAAGTGATAAAAAGTCTGATAAAACGTTTGATAAGAGCACGACTTGGACCTCTTCGAGATTTTTTCCTAGCTACTTTACACTTTTGAGTAATTCATCTTAGTGCTTTAGTCATGTTTCCCTGCGATTGAATACAAACTAATATCGAAGTCAGAGTTAGCTGGCTTACCGATCATGACTAGTCTTTGAGGTGCTATTTGTTCAGTGTCAGGAGAAAAGATACTGGAAAGTTAATATTTAAAATGGGGGGCACAATAGTTGGGGACGTGAGGTCGCGCGTGGAAGAACTGCAGGAGGGCATTTGGCCACAGCCTAGTCGCCCCTCGACCAGTGATGTTGGCAGCAACCGCCCTCGCCCCCCCCACCCGGCAACCGTGTCTGCTCTTTTGAGAGGAATGTTCTCGCTTTACGGTCAAGGTGAATTTCGCTTTTAGCGCTTCAGTTGCTGACCAGGACTGATCACAGGTTTGAAGGATATCGCAGTGCATTTGTACCGTATCGCCGGGTCACTTGCTTACCGTAACTTATTTTTGAAGATGCTTTCAGAGATTAAACGGAACTCTGGTGGACCAATTGCTTGTGCAGGTACCGGATCACTTGTAGAGCCACGATCATCCTTGGTCCAATAAGTGTTGAGCGTTGGGCCCCCTTACTTCCAATGAAGCGTCGTCATTGTATCGTTTAGGTTAAGGATTCAAAAGGTTACCCATCTCAAGCTGCTCGAAAAAATGCTAGCCCCTCTGTTGTAACTAAATTGAGCTCCAGCGAAAGACTAAACGAACGCATCTGTGTTCTGATATCCAGGGGGGGGGTGGGATTCGAGAGAGATGACTGCATAAACGATGCAGTCACGGTGCACGATCATGACGTTCCCTCTAGAGCGGCACGTCTCTCATGAACTTTTGAGACTGCCGCCCCTTTGCCATCATCTGCAAAACGGCACGACTACTCCTGGCATACACCAATTCCGACCGGTCACTTGAGTAGAACTGGTCGCCTACCCCACAGTGGGACATTGCTTTGAACGCGTTTCCCCTGATGTCTCTCTGCGCCATCCTCGCCGCTGCTTCCCATGTGATAATTGACAAAACTATTGATAATCTTTGTCACTGAGAGCGTCTGTTGAGCCATCCTTATATGTAAGCAGGTATTCGGCTCAGTAATACTATTATTGTGACTTGTTCGTGTGTTATAATTAAAAAGCAATATTTTCTTCCTTCACTTTCGTGCACTGAGAGAAATCTGTGTTAGGCCTTGGGAATATTGCTCTGGCAATGATTGGGTCACACGGTTGTGTGTCATCGCTATCTGTGGTCATGTGTAACGAGCCGTACAGGAACTATGCGACTGGACCTTTTCAAAAAACGTAAGTTTTTAAAAACGTGCTACATTCTCATACAAAAGTGCTGTATTCCTTTCGAGGTGAACATCAACATCTTCTGCCAGCTTAAGCAAGCTTGCGAACAAGTGCAGACATATTCAGGAGAGATAGATGAACATACACATTCTGCTACAAAGAGTATTGCATTGATCTAGCTTATATGATAGCATATTCCGGTATACCCAAGTAAAATCAAAGCTTCTTGTGTATCAAGGCACTGTGTACTGCAATGGAAATTTGTGCACAGTTTTCGCATCACAAGGTTGTAAAGTAGGATCGTGAGGCGCAAGGTTGCTCAAAGGCAGTTGGCACGATAATATGGTACTCAGCCCAAACTGTTAGCAGGGCGCTATATAAAAGGAAAATGGCGAAAAAGCGAAGTGAAACGGTCGAAAACTGCGAAGAAAAGCCTTCGTTCTTAAAAAGCGACAAGTTTCTCGTAGGCACACGGCCAATAACCGCTACGGTAGTTACGGCTGCATGTATGTACTCATATATCCATGCAGCATCACAGCCGCTTCATACCAACCTTCGCTTCATATTTTACTTAGCAAATGAACGAGCGTCAGGAACGGTCGTCCATTTGTGGGCGGGCGGGCGTGGTGGGCGTTCGGGTCGGTATGTTGTAGCTTGATAGGGCCCTTATAAGGGTACCTTCCCTGGAAAAAGCGTCTTAGGCGCCTGCTTAGGGACGCTGAATTCCGTCCTGGTACGCGTATTGACCCTACTCGTTTTTGGGGATTTATCATGCCAACTGCCTTTAAGCGGCTTCACACACGTTGCCGTTTGCATCCTTTGTCGCCTTGCTCTTTTGCATGTCTTGGTGCTACTTTTATCTATCTCCCGGAACTTCCAGCGTGTTTCTAGCTTGAAACGAGGACGGCCTCGGGATTATTCACCATCCATGTAGAAGACATGCTTGTTTAGTATCTCCGCCTTCAGAGATAAGCTAAACATCCATTGAATGATGCGACTGTGAAAACCTTACTGGCGTTTGAAAGTCGTACAACCTTGTGCGTAACCTTACAGACGTTATATCATTGAAGACACCACTATAATTACCCACTGGCAGCAAGAACCTTTTGCTGTACTCGTTTCCAACCTCACCGCTTGACTTTTTTGATTCGAATATATTGTACTAGCAAGCGAATTTCATATTCCAGTATGGAGAAGGAGGAAATCTCGAAAAATAACGAAGATACCAGAAATAACAGTTTCTACACATTGTCAAGGCTTCTCAGCTACACCTTCTGGATGATAGTCAAAGCTATCGTGAAGCTGAATTCTACTGGGTGCTCTTGTGGATGATATCACTGTTGCTTGTCTACTGTACGACTACTGTATGAATGTTGAAAAGAATCACGTCTCCAATAAAATTTTTCACCGAAGTTGACAGTTTCCCGTAATTGATTTTTTATGAAAGTGATCATCTTTTACAGCGGGCAGCGAAGCAAGCGCACAGCACTGGTTCATTGTTCTGATAAACACAGCGACTAGCACCGCAAAAGAAAACTTTTAGAATGAGTGCCCGTTCAAATGCCGAATGGAGTAAAATTGGTTCTGTGAAATACACAATTGATCAGAGACTCTGAACGCTACTAGGAATCTCGATAAGCAGGGGCAGGCCCTCGCCCATCACCTTCATGTACACCAAAATATGAAGTCATCTCCAGTCGCAGCCTGACTGGAGAAGACCTTTGGAATTCATGTCACCTCCAAACAGCTGCGAAACTTCTAGTATGGAGTCACCCATGGATAGCTACCTGGAGACCAGTACTCTCGATCTGGAAGACCTCCAACATCGAGCAGCTCCGACAACGTCGCTACGGTCCAGGACATCATCTTCACCGCAGTCGCCAAGGCGCGAGTTGGTGGTATGGACCGGAAGTTCCTGGAATGTGAAGACCGATATTTTCTTCGTGGACCCCGGACTGAAGGTGAGCGCTGACGGTTACATGCTGTACCTTCTTGAGA